GGTACCTGAAGGGGTAAAAAAAAAGAAAAAAACTGTTCATTAGCTCAATGTCAATGTAGTTTTGAGTTCAGAGACAAGGTAATGCTCTGAAAGCTCCCAACACACACCTACGCACAGGCATTATCTCAGTGGCAAACACAACATTTTCAACACTAACACCTGAACACGCAGAAAACATGTGCCACACTGACATCACAACAAAAACCTCACTTCTAGATACACTGGATAAAGTCGCTATCTTTTTGCGGATTACAGAGCATTCTTCCCTCTTCCACAAAACATGTGCAGTACAAGCAGAACTGTCAATTACTATGAGACAGGCCCTCCACACCATCTCCAAGCCTTTCAAAAACGCTCATTTACCTGATATGGCACAAGACTGTGCAGTGGAAGCACCGCCCCTATGTCTGGGGACTGCAGCTGACCCAGGTAACCCAGTATGGACATGTCACGCAAGATGCCGCTATGTACTCGCCTGGAAAAATAACCGCAACAAGTCAAGGAAAGGCAGCACACCCTCACACAGCGACCCAAACCAGATACCCCAGACAGTCCCAAGTATACCATACAGTATTAGCCGCTATTTCATGCAAATTTAGTTTTTGAAACATCTACAGCTGAAGAACATTTAGAGCTACGTTTTTATTACCGCTAAGGGATCGCAGGATTTAGGGCATTGTTTCAACTTTAAAAAGGCATTAATTATCTTTCACCATCAGCATCAGAGATGCTCAAAGTATCAGAGAAATTAAGAAATAAGGTGATCCATCATCTACGTCTGTACGAAATGGGTAAGGAACCTCCCAGTTAGAAAAGAGACACATAATGTTCCGCAATTCCAAGTGGAAGTCATGCCCAGTGTAAAACTAAGTAACTGACAGTAGTCACTGGGAGTAGGGAGGAACAACCTTCCCCCCTGCCTAAAAAAACTAAACCTACACAAACCTCCACCCAAACACCCCCCTTCTCCCAACCCAAGTACCCAGAAAACCCAAACACCCCCCAAACATAACCCCCTAATAAGTAAACTAACCAGCTCTGACTGCTTTAATGGAACTCTCGAGGCCAAAGCAAAGCAAGAGCCTTTATCATCAGGACCACCCATGATTTTGTTAAGCCCACTAACTGCCACGTAGCGCTGAACTTTCTACTTACGCTTCACCTGCAACCCCTGCTCGAGGGAATTCTGGATGGACGTACAGCAACTTATACTCAGGAGCTGATGCATCTCCCTCCCCTTCAGAGGACTTCCAGCTTCCTATTCCACTCATACCCATCTGCTTGCATTTGGCTTGCTGTTTGCCTTTGGTGTACAGGCCAGGAGTGAGATGAACATACTCTGGGGTGAGCGGAGCCATGGCTTTCCAGTCATACACATCCATCTGAACAATGTGACTGGGTGACAACAGCCGAATGATATCAATCAGAAGCAGCAACCCCTCACCTTTAGGAAGCAGAGAAAACATGATTGCTACCACTACGTATACAGGTCGGAACACTGTTATGGAAGACCAGTACTAGCTCAAGGTGGGTAAGCCTTACTTTTGGGTTCTGGACTGTCTAGAAAGCGTGGTGGTGTACCGCTACGATTATTACCTCCCTTCTGCACCACCCCTTAAGAACAGATTTATCCTGTTTACCTTTCACCCAGCCCATGGTGTTGATGACTAAAGGCACTTCCTTCTTGTAGGAGCTGAACACATACTTCACAACATCAAGGTATCTTTCCGTGTCCTGCTCACAACTAGTCTGTCCGTAATACACCATCTTACGTGGCGTTTGTTGATGAGTGAACGGTGGACCTGAAAAAGCAAGCAGCAAACAAACCTCTAGTGTTTTCAGTAAGTCAAATCAGAAAACTCCCATCCCCGTAGCACCTATGTGCAATCCCTTCCAAAATAATCTGTCCTCTTTTCACATGCTAATAGTCCTTCCTGTGCAGCCTGCACCTTATGGAGAAACTTTACTGTCACTTGCAAGGCTCCATGCTAGGAATTTTGTTTGTTTGGGTTTTTTCTTGTTTGTTTGTTTTAAGTCACTGGTTACATACTTGCGAATTTTTAAACCACCGTCTTCTCTGACAGACTATCCAGAAAGTAAACCAGTCTGGCCGTATCCTTTTCAGACAGTGACCCAAATCCCCAAGACCAGAACCACCACCGATTTCTCTGGCTCTAGTTTTTCTACGCTCATAATGACAGCCCCCAACCTAAAACTTCCCCCTAAAACTCAAGCTAGCTTTATCTACGGATACTAAAAACTGGGAAAGATCTTCCCAAAGAGACCTTTCAAATCTGAAAGGCTTAAAATCCACCCTGACATGTCACAGCCTGTTCCACCACCTTATAAACAACTATTGTCTCTAAGACACAAAAAACGAGCGGGGAGAATAGCTCCATGTTACTTTGCGAGATTCTCATGGAGTTTACATGCAAGAAAACTTTAACAGCCTTGGTTTTAGTTTCTCTGTGCACCTCGGACAGACGTGGCAGCTTCCCCTAAGGACAGCCTCTACTCAGAAAGCACCTTCTGGATATGAAACACGTTTGTGGCAACTGCAGAAAACGGCAAAACACGTACCAAGAATTGGCTCCGTTACATTACTTAAAGACACGCATCCAGGCGGTGTAAACTCGGTTTGACCGATGTCACATTCCATATATTCAACCGAGGGAAGGCTGCAGTGGAAGAAGCCTGTATATTAGCGTCCACTTAAAAAAGAAACAGGACACGACCTGGAACACATCAGAAGCACAATCTGATTTTGTTCCAGGTTGTCAAAATTAAATTCTTGAATACAATCAAACCAAAACTCATCTCTCTCCTTCCCTGACTTGAGAGGGTATTAAGCAAGAATGTAAAAGGCTCCCCTATAGTGCAATATTATATTACAATAGCTCCGTACCCATCCAGCTTTAAGGGAAGCAGCTGGAACAATAATCGGAGGTGGTACTAATCAAGTATACTGCCTCTCCGACGTTAACTGGGCACCCTAAGACCAGCCATTTGAAATTTATAAATTTTATTATCTTTATTTTAAGCACGCAATGGTCAGGAGAATAAGCTTCTACACCTTGCTCTGCCAAGAATCTTCAAAGACGCTAACAAATTATAACCTACTGTGTCTTTCTAAGCATTCCAACTACCAGTTCCTTACCGAACCCTAACTACTCAGTTCCAAATTAGTTCACATACTCCAATACAACAATTTAGTAGTATTTCAATAGAAATGCTTCAGTAGTCAACTTTTCTGAAAGGAACCCAAAACAAGAATGCCTATTTTTCTGCACTTTTGTTTGTTTGCTTTTAAAAGATATCTACCTTCCAGTTAACAGCTTTTCTGAGAATCCTGGCAGGCAGTTTTTTCCTTCTCCTAAATCCCATGCAGTACTTAAAAACTTGTAGAACATGAAAAGACTCACCGATTCAGTAACAGATTAATCAGGTATCTGTTAAATGTCGATTTCCCAGTGTTTTTTGGGCCACACACTAGAACCACCGGGACACCTTCATCTTCCGCTGGAAAAATAAACATAGTCTGAAACTGACCAATGCTGTCAGTTACTCTGATGTGCCCTGTTTACATAAATTTGTTAAAAAAACAAAAGCCCGAAAAACCCTACAGACTTTGCGGTCTGACTAGGATGCATTTGAATTAAACGGAAAAAAAATACATTCAAGAGAAGCATGTTAAGTGTACCAGTGTAAAGGGAAAAAGCTGCTGAAGCGAGAAGCAAGCCCTAGCACTACAACCCAGCATGTATGAACTCCAGTTGCTCATGGTATTTTAGATGTTGCTGGGTAAGTAAGGGGACTTTTTTTTCTACCTGCTACAAAAGAGAGCACAATGAGAGTTTTGACGTCAGACTGGGAAGTGCCTTTACAGCAGCAAGCTGCGCATCTGGCAGGAGAGGCACAAACCCACTCGAGGCGATGCACAAGCTCAAGACTCCCACTATTCAGGAGAAAAATATGACTCTCCATCAGTGCCTGTCACAGGGCACACCCTCCCTAACCTGAACTCACAAAAAGCCTCATGAATTTCCTTTCTTCAGGCTACTAAACCCCCCAACCTCACCAAGTGCACGCCACTCACCACAGCATGCTTGGATCAGCTCCTCCAGAGCCAGCAACATGCTCTCTGACACCAGCAACCCACGGTCAGGGCTACACTTCACGATGCCAACAGATGCCAGAACTGCATCTTCCGGCGTGAAGCTGGATTCTTCCTTTTTCTAGGGAAGAGGGAAAAACGCTTAGACAGGCGTGCGTAAGGCCTTGTAGCTGCGCTACTGGACACTGACAGGCACTCAAAGCAGGGCAGCCACCTCTCGCTCCGCACGAGGCCTGTTTCTGGGAAGGCGCGACATCCGTGCCACCACCCAGGGCGGAGTGGGCATCTTGACACCCTCTGGGTCTCACCTGGGGCTCGAAGAGCCGTGACAGCGGCGGGTAGCTCAGCAGGAACCGCGTCACCGGCGTGTCCAGGTGCTCCAGCAGCACCACGGCACACTCCGGCGAGAACCTGGCCATCACCTTCACCCGCGCCTCTGCAACGGAGGGAGAGCGCCGTCCTCAGACCGCACTAAAGAGCGGTGGAGGCGCCGCGCGCAAAATGGCGGACGCCCCGCACCGCGCCGCACACAAAATGGCCGCCTCCCGCACCCCACGCAAAATGGCGGCCACCCCGCACCGCACGCAAAATGGCGGCCCAGCAACCGGCCGGCCGACCGCCCACCCCGCACCGGGCTGGCACTCACGGCGGCGGACGCTGTGCGCCCGCATAGCGGCGCGGGCGGCGGC